CATACTGTATCAATACTGTACATGAAATCTTACTGTATCAATACTGGTACTCGGAGTCATACTGTATCAATACTGTGCATGAAATCTTACTGTATCAATACTTGTACACGGGGTCATACTGTATCAATACTGTACATGAAATCTTACTGTATCAATACTGGTACTCGGAGTCATACTGTATCAATACTGATACACGGAGTCATACTGTATCAATACTGTACATGAAATCTTACTGTATCAATACTTGTACACGGGGTCATACTGTATCAATACTGTACATGGAATCTTACTGTATCAATACTGGTACACGGAGTCATACTGTATCAGTACTGTACATGGAATCTTACTGCATCAAGACTGGTACAGGGAGTCATACTGTATCAATACTGTACATGGAATCTTACTGCATCAAGACTGGTACAGGGAGTCATACTGGGTACAGGCTGGTACACGGAGTCATACTGTATCAATACTGGTACACGGAGTCATACTGTATGTACAGAGGGGTCATACTGTATCAATACTGGTACAGAGGGGCCATACTGTATCAATACTGTTACAGTCATACTGTATCAATACTGTACATGGAATCTTACTGCATCAATACTGGAACAGAGGGGTCAAACTGTATCAATTCTGGTATAGAGGGGTTATACTGTATCAATACTAGTACACGGAGTCATACTGTATCAATACTGGTACAGAGGGGCCATACTGTATCAATACTGGTACAAAGGGATCATACTGTATCAATACTGGTGCAGAGGGGCCATACTGTATCAATACTGTTACAGAGGGCCCATACTTTATCAATACTGGTACAGAGGGCCCATACTGTATCAATACTGGTACAGAGGGACCATACTGTATCAATACAGGTACATAGGGGTCATACTGTATCAATACTGGTACAGAGAGGTCATACCTTATCAATACTGGTACAAAAGGATCCTACAGTATCAATACTGGTACAGAGGGGCCATACTGTATCAATACTGTACATGGAATCTTACTGTATCAATACTAGAACAAAGGAGTGATACTGTATCAATACTGTACACGGAATGATATTGCATCAATACTGGTACAGAGGGCCCATACTTTATCAATACTGTACTTGGAATCTTACTGTATCAATACTGGTACACGGAGTCATACTGTATCAATACTGTACATGGAATCTTACTGTGTCAATACTCGTACATGGAGTCAAACTGTATCAATACTGTACATGGAATCTTACTGTATCAATACTGGAACAAAGGGGTCATACTGTATCAATACTGGTACAGAGGGGCCATACTGTATCAATACTGGTACAAAGGGATTATACTGTATCAATACTGGTGCAGAGGGGCCATACTGTATCAATACTGGTACAAAGGGGTCATACTGTATCAATACTGGTTCACGGAGTCATACTGTATCAGTACTGTACATGGAATCTTACTGCATCAATACTGGAACAGAGGGGCCAAACTGAATAAATACTGGTACAAATGGGTCATACTGTATTAATACTTGTACAGCGGGTTCATACTGTATCAATACTGGTACAGAGGGGTCATACTGTATCAATACTAGTACAAAGGGGCAATACTGTATCAATACTGGTACGGAGGGGTGATACTGTATCAATACGGGGTCCTACTGTATCAATACTTGTACATAGGGGTCATACTGTATCAATACTGGTACATAGGGGTCAGGTCGTATCAATACTGGTACAGAGGGGCCATACTTTATCAATACTGGTACAGAGTGGGCATACTGTATCAATACTGGTACAGAGGGGCCATACTTTATAAATACTGGTACAGAGGGGCCATACTTTATAAATACTGGTACAGAGGGGCCATACTTTATAAATACTGGTACAGAGGGGCCATACTGTATAAATACTGTTACAGAGGGGCCATACTGTATCAATACTGGCACAGAGGGGCCATACTTTATCAATACTGATACTGAGTGGCCATACTGTATCAATACTGGTACAGAGAGGCCATACTTTATCAATACTGATACAGAGTGGCCATCCTGTATCAATACTGGTACAGAGGGGCCATACTGTATCAATACTGGTTCAGAGGGGACATACTGTATCAATACTGGTACATATGGGTCATACTGTATCAAAACTGTTACAAAGGGGTTATACTGTATCAATACTGGTCAATGAGTCATACTGTATTAATACTGTACAGAGGGGTCATACTGTATCAATACTGGTACATATGGGTCATACTGTATCAATACTGGTACAAAGGGGTTATACTTTATCAATACTGGTCAATGAGTCATACTGTATTAATACTGTACAGAGGGGTCATACTGTATCAATACTGTTACATATTGTTCATACGTGGGTTCCGGATTATTTCTTATTCCGTAATATTGATCAACTTATTGTACCAAATCGCATGTTGGTGAGGAGAGAAAGGCGTACAAAGGGGTGGACGATTATCAAATCGCACTGTCCTGCTCACCTTGTGCGGACGGGGTTTCTGCGCACGCTGTTTTTGGTGTGTTATGCAGTGACACTATTTGATTAATACTTGTGCGTCATATTCCGTTTCTCCATTTCGTAAGCGTCCATATCTGGATAGCAACTTTCATTAGGAATATTTCATAGAAACATCGAAATCAAATGAGATTTAGGAAGAGGAATATTTATGTCAGAATACATGATCTCATCGTGAACATACACTTCTAAGTATACATTATATTTAACGAGAAACTATCAAACCGTGCCTTACCACAAACTGCAGAAATGCTACAGAACGTCAAAATATCCTTACTTCGTGGGGCGTGATCTGTTCATGGTGTTGCATTTCTTTTCTTTCTTTTTATGATCTGTGACGTCACTATCAAGGATAGTGCCAAACACACACATTTCAACATTTCTTACATCTGTTTTGGCAATTATCGCAGGCATGAAAAATATCTTTTCTATTAAATGATTAATTTCTGATTTTTGTAATAAACATGTTTACACTCTACAAACAAAACATGTATAATCTAGAAACCTCAGTGGTTAAGACGTCTGACCGTCTACTACATCCAGTCCTCCGACACTGGGTCGCGAGTTCGAGGTCTGCTGGAGACAATCCCAAGGTACTTACCGCAGATTGATGGTTATGAGAATACAGAACATTATAAGCTTGTTTAAAGAAACTCAAAGCTTAGGAGTATTGATATTCAGACGACGGCGACAGTGTGAAAGTTTTCCTCCTGCATGTTTGTATATATATATTGTATGTTATAGAAATAGGCACGATCATGTAGCCAGACAAAGTCGATTTAAACCAAAAGGTTTTAAAAACATCTCTACTAAATATTTGTGATGCCGAATTTACCGGGACATTTGTCGTTTTAAACTATAAGTCACTAACTTACCGGGACATTTGTCATTTTAAACTAAGTCCCTTATTTATCGGAACAGTTGTCATTTTTAACTAAGTCCCTAACTTAGCAGGGCATTTGTCATTTTAAACTAAGTCCCTTATTTACCGGGATATTTAACATTTTTAACTAAGTCCCTTATTTACCGGGATATTTGTCATATTTAACTAAGTCCCTAACTTAGCAGGGCATTTGTCATTTTAAACTAAGTCCCTTATTTACCGGGACAGTTGTCATTTTAAACTAAGTCCCTTATTTACCGGGACATTTATCATTTTTAACTAAGTCCCTAATTTACCGGGGCATTTGTCATTTTATACTAAGTCCCTTATTGACCGGGACATTTTTCATTTTTAAATCAGTTGCTATATCGGCATCTCATAGAAGTTGATCAAATGACCACATATACATGGAATTTTATCACTTGTTGAAACTAATATACCGTATAAAAATAGTTAATGGGAATAATGAGCCTCGGAACCCAGTGCAATGTGGAAAATGGGCATAAAAAGCGCAATCGTACAAATCAACCTATCGTTACGGGTAGGGGGTGGATGGGGGGAGTTGTGTCGGAGATAGAGAATTATTGGTAACTATAAGTGGTAGAAATAGCCACCCCCACCCACCCCCACCCCCTTTACTTCCAATGGCACTCTCATCCCCACCCCATCCCCTTCAGTTAAACAAATTGTACAAAATGAATTGACCGATCTAGCACTGGGTAATATTACCACATCCCTATCCATCTCCCACCCCACTGTAATACTAGTAATGGCTCAGCACTTGATTTAGCTCTATTGCCCCACACCTGTTGCCTCTATGTTAATCAGCATAAGTCCGTAACCCGATCAATGGGAACGACAAACAGGCCTGTTAGCTCTGCTTACACTTCCAAGCAAATCGATAGGTATGATGACTTTTATGGTTAAGTTATAATAGTCTGAATTTAGAGGTAACGATCCGTATTGTTTTGTTTTTTTTGCATGCAGCTTGTTGCCCCGACAGCCGTTTTAAGTGTTTCCCGCTCCAAACAACGATACATGTGCAGTCGTCTGTGACTTGGTTATGCTGTCGTCATACGTGAAAATACGTCACAGTGTCCTGCTATGATGTTTCAGCTATGACGTCACTGTGAACGAAGATGCTTGTGGACCATATGACGTCATGGTCACCTTTGTGTCGTGTATTTTGTGTCCGTGTCCCATTCTGACGTTTTAGTCAGTGTCGTCATGCCTATGACGTCATTTGGCATCTAAGTACTTTATGTGAGTCCATTCCAATCGCCACCTGTAGGCTCCCGCGCTTCCTTGTTGTCTCTTGTGTACTCCAAGTTCCGGTCTGTGAGTAATTATACGCTGTTTTGCTTGATTTGACATTTCGACTTTTTATGACCTTGACCTTTTGACCTATGACATCTTTGCCGGACCAAAACAATGAACAGACTCCAAGTGATGCATTTTATGAAAACATCTTGAACATTTCTTCTTCTTTTTTCTCTTACTTTATTTTATCACTTTTTATTCTTATATTTATCCAAGAAAGTTTTCAATTCTAACATTGATTAACTAATAACTTACAATGTTTATAAACCACAGCTCGGGGTCCGGGCAGGGTCGAGACAGTGAAGCTGGACATTTAACTTTGTCTTCCTCGCGGGGAGCTGCGCTACGTCATCAAGAAAAACGCAAACGTGACTCGGTAGGGAGTAGTGAGAAATCCACGCCAAAGGACTCCGCTACTACTCGTAAGCTACGGGAGGCAAGTAGTAGACAGGAGGTAAAAATAGCACCCAACCCTGTTACTACAGCCGCTGCACCTCCAGTATATCCGCTAGGCGTTTCAAACACGACCTTTGAGAATGTATCCTCTATAGCTCATCCCGCAGTGACTATGGGTGTAACGGGGGAAGCAGAACTACAGAATACACAGCAACAGTTCAATTCACGTTATTATTCCACGGAGTTGAATGGATCTACACCGGATTTTAATGGAGTTATTCGAAGCAAACCAATTATGAAACGGGTAATATTAAACGTAGGAGGGGTGAAACATGAGGTTATGTGGCGTACTCTGGACCGTATGCCCCATACCCGGCTTGGCAAGTTACGATCCTGTAACACCCCAGAGAGTCTCATGGAAATATGCGACGACTACTCATTAACGGAAAACGAATACTTCTTTGATCGGCACCCAAGGTCGTTTGCCTCCATTTTAAACTTCTATCGCACGGGTAAACTTCATTTAGTAGAGGAAATGTGTGTGCTATCGTTCAGTGAAGATCTCGAGTATTGGGGAGTTGACGAGTTATATCTCGAGTCGTGTTGTCAACATAAATATCACCAGAAAAAGGAGCATGTTTATGAGGAAATTCGTAAGGAGGCCGAAAGTCTTCGCCAAAGAGACGAGGAGGATTTTGGTACTGGGTCTATGGCCAAGTGGCGCCAGAAAATATGGGATTTATTAGAAAAACCAACCACGTCTATGGCTGCGAGGGTAAGTATGGTTTTAATTCCGATTATTTCTTTGATTTATATTTTTTCTATTAGTTTTTTGCACATTTTACATGTAATTGTAGTGTGTATAAGATGTATTTATGGCCAAAAAGCTCGTGGAAAACTAGTTTGTATTTGAAGTATTTACGGCGAGAAAGCTTATGGAAAACTTTACTGTGATATAGACAATCCATTGCTTTTATACCATCTGTTACTTGTCTGTATGAAACACAATGCAGAGTTATTATCCACATGCATTTCCGAATCGGGTGATCGCCCTGTGCTAATACTCCGGGCCCTATTCCGCACATGTTCTTCCCCACGCGTGGCCCTATTACACTGACACGCAAAAAGCATGGTCATCTTAACGAATAATATATATTACATAAAATATGAGCAATTAAAAGTCATCGTTACAATTTTATGAATTGGATTAAGAGCTAGTCGGTTTGTTAGTAATAAATATATAACAATAGATAGATAACCGTCTCTGGTGCAGCTACCGAGGGTTATAGATGTAAAGCATGTGTATTGGAACAACAGAAGGTTACGTCGAGAGGGGAAGTTCGGATAAAACCTTTCCAAAATTGATAAATATATGGAAATGAGATTTGTTAACTCATTGTACCTGTTTTTGTGGGACAGTTACGTGTGTCTGAAGGCATTGCTGGCGGACACGGCTGCAAGAGGATATCCCTTCAACTATTACCGATTACCATTATCCGATAGCGACATGCACCGCGTGACGCTAAACATGCGTACCTCTGGGGGTTACCGATATTTATCAGATACAAAGCGGCGTGAGACTGGATCCCTAGGGGTACCTTGTTAGGGCGGATACCTTCCCACTAAGAGAGTACCATACGTTCACTTCCATGAGAAATTCCAGCACTTTTCTTTTAGATTTTAACCATAATGAATATATCTTTACTCAAAATGCCTGTGTAGCATGCACAAACCGGAATAGAACCCTTTTATATAATTCATGTGTACAGACAAAATGTTATATTTAACAAGTAAATATATATATATATAATATTTAGGAAGTGTATGTATACAGATAAAATTGAAAGGTAGTTTGTGAAAACACGAGTTTGGGGAGCTGGGGCTGTTCTTAGTATGTACACTAGACTAGGAAACCATGGAGATTTAGAATTACAAAACGTCTATTCAGCTCTCCTCATTTTAACTGAGAACAATTCAGTTGCTGAATTAAACTTTTGTCTTTCAAATCTTGCATTGTTATTCTGATGTCCTTGACAGTCGGTGGCACTTGTTCTGCTGGAAAACATAAAGCTAAGTCATCTGACGGATCAACGCTCTCAGACTCCCCGTACTAGCCTCTGTATCAACAGGACACGGGGGGAAAAGTTCATTTCCCCGTAATTTTATCTAAAGCAAGCAGGTTATTGTTATATAGCGCCAATTACACACTATCGCGTTACAATTGCCGATAATTATATCATATTGTAATTGCTGACGGCATTCTAAATGTTCCACGAACTTCGGACCCAAAACAGCTAAACGTATATGTGTGCTGAACATAATTTACATTGATTAAATTTCATTCAATATATAGAGACCCAGTAACACATGAAGATGTTGTTTTACGTCTGTTGTGTACAACATACGGCCACAGTTTGACGACAGACTAATGTAGCCCTAGCGACGTTTTACTTCTGGGATAGAGATTATTCTTGTTTACAAAACTATTGTACGCAGAAGAATTTTAATGAATGCTTTAGATATATAGGATAGGGCGGTGTAAGCGTGCGTACACTTATCAGCCTGTTATCAATACCACTGTGCCAGCAGCATCAACAGCTGTATGCGCGTGCGTGGGCGGGAATCGCGAGCTAGTGAACAGCCACCAACATAACCTCCCAAGTATAATATATTCTCCGATGGACGATATAAATTCATTTGATTCAATTTCGTCTGTTGAATACGCGCGTAGTTAGTATTTGTTTATCGGTAAACAGGGTTAAGTAAACTAATTATTGATGCATTCATCTCCTTGCTATGTAATATCTAGATGGACATCATCTAATTGGATGATTTAGTCACCATATGTGGGCTTACTGAGTATCAAAGGATCGATAGAGAACAGGACATAATAGCCGGCGATTAGACCAATAATTACATGTTTCATACTGTACTGGGAGTTTTCCCGCCGTGGAACTGATGTAGGTCGTCTGCTTGTTGACCTCCATGTGTCAGGCCGTGTTTCTCGGCGTTGTCATTTCTCCATGGTATCGTCTGTCTGTCATAGATCGAAACCCGGAAAGTTAACACTTACGTCAAGCTTGCTTCAATTACAACAAAACTATTTAACATCTACAGTTGTACTAATATATACGTTTCGTTCCGTTTCATTGAGTATTTTAGTATTTGATATCGTGACGTTTACATTTAAATATCTGAATAATCAATAATAATCAGGATATCCATAGCTTACAAATGCTTCTATATTGTCCGAACCGAATCCGATTGATACAAATATGTATCATCAACAGCAATATTCCGTTCCGTTTCATAACAATCAATTTACATAAGACAACAAGGAGAATCGGTATTGATTTTATACGGCAGCTGTTTGGCACTTAAAATTACTATGGATTTATGTTGATACCTCAGTGATATGTCCGTCACTCTCTCCTCGTGCTGAGCCCACTATATCAGTTGGTTGTGTTAAAGCTACCACGTCGTATGACATGTTAACCCACTCGGCCCGAGGAGTGATTAAACGATCACGTCGTGTGTTTTTTCTTGTTTAACTACCACGTCGTGTGCCTGCCTAGTTTAACCTACCACGTTATATGTGTCGTCTGGGACTTTATCATTCCAAGTTTTGTGCTACAACATATCACATTATGTTCAGTGCTTAAACCTCCTACATCGCGTTGTCATGCTAAATACCACCAAACATGTCGTGCTCAACTTTGCCACGTCGCTATACCTACCACGTAATGTGCCTTGCTTAACCTTGACATATGTTTCGTCACTATCACGTCTTTCTGAGCTAAATCTACCACGCCGTTTGTCGGGCTGAGCCTAGCACGTCGTGTGTATGTATATGTGTGGGTTCGAACTGTGTAGATAACCGTTCATTTTCACTCCAAACTCTATAGTAATGAATATACATGCAATCCAAGACAGAGACAGGGGCTGGATGGCTTCAGCGTCCTTCTAATAGCATGATCTCGTCCTTGCAGACGAACTTATACGAGAGGAGCTTGGAATAAAAACGTGATTTGTGCCGACTGCACGCATAGATATAGAAATACACCTCACGTTTGTTCTGCATCCTTCCATTACAATCCTATTGTGACGTTATCAATTTCATTGTTGTCAACACTTAATTTGCTGCTCGAAAACTGTTCGAATAAGACCTAAATACAGCATAACTACTCTATCGTAATATATATATAAGTAATGCATATTTTAGCAAATACTGTTCAAGTCCTCAATAGCAATGTGTGTTATAGGACAATAACAATATTTGCTAAAACATTCAGTGCTTAAATATCTCATCCGTATGCGTACAGCCTTGCTAGAGCGACACATGTCATAATATAAAATTGTCATTATTGCCAATAATCTTTTGATCAAAATATATTCACGCGGGTGTGATGTTGCCACTGATAAATTGTACATGTGAGTAGTTTGTGATACAATCACTGTTAACGTTGCGCGTTTGTAGTACTGCAGCTGTTAGCATTGCGTTTTTGCGGTAATACCACAGTAAGCATTGCGTTTTGTGATACTACCACTAGTAGCATTGCGTTTTTGCGGTAATACCACAGTAAGCAATGCGTTTTTGCGGTAATACCACAGTAAGCATTGCGTTTTTGCGGTAATACCACAGTAAGCATTGCGTTTTTGCGGTTATACTACAGTAAGCATTGCGTTTTTGCGGTTATACCACAGTAAGCATTGCTTTTTTTGCGGTAATACCACAGTAAGCATTGCTTTTTTGCGGTAATAGCACAGTAAGCAATTGTGTTTTTCAGATATTACCACTGTTAACTTTTGTGATAATACATTTGGTAGCGTTGCGCTTCTTGACACCACTACTGTTATCATTGTGCTTTGCGTTTTAGTGATGCTATAACTGTGAGTGTCCACTTTTGCGATATTACTACTGTACGTAATGCGCTTTTGTGGTGCTACAATTGTAAGAACTTCGTTTTTTTCTGATACTACAACGGTAAACATTGCGTTTTTATACTATTGCTACTGGTAGAATTGCGCTTATGTGTAATTATTGACACTTCCACTGGTGAAACAGGGCTAATGTGTAGTTTGACTGCCGGTGGTACATTGTAGCATTACGCTAATGTGTAGTTTGACTGCCGGTGGTACATTGTAGCATTACGCTAATGTGTAGTTTGACTGCCGGTGGTACATTGTAGCATTACGCTAGTGTGTAGTTTGACTGCCCGTGGTAGCATTACGCTAATGTGTAGTTTGACTGCCGGTGGTAGCATTACGCAAATGTGTAGTTTGACTGTCGGTGGTAGCATTACGCTAGTGTGTAGTTTGACTGCCGGTGGTAGCATTACGCTAGTGTGTAGTTTGACTGCCGGTGATACATTGTAGCATTACGCTAATGTGTAGTTTGACTGCCGGTGGTAGCATTACGCAAATGTGTAGTTTGACTGCCGGTGGTAGCATTACGCTAATGTGTAGTTTGACTGCCGGTGGTACATTGTAGCATTACGCTAATGTGTAGTTTGACTGCCGGTGGTACATTGTAGCATTACGCTAATGTGTAGTTTGACTGCCGGTGGTACATTGTAGCATTACGCTAATGTGTAGTTTGACTGCCGGTGGTACATTGTAGCATTACGCTAATGTGTAGTTTGACTGCCGGTGGTACATTGTAGCATTACGCTAATGTGTAGTTTGACTGCCGGTGGTACATTGTAGCATTACGCTAATGTGTAGTTTGACTGCCGGTGGTACATTGTAGCATTACGCTAATGTGTAGTTTGACTG